CCTCTGGGTGGTGTGTTTGTCCCACAGGACACGCTTGGGCTGCAGAGGGAGGAGGCAGCGATGGCCCCAGGGCTCAGGGCCGTGACTGCAGCCCGGGCTGACACTGTCACTCCTCTCCTGCCAGATGAGGTCCAGGCCATTGCCAGCATGATGGAGAAGCAGGCCAGGATCGTGGTGAAGCCCAAGGAGGTCTCCTCCCAGGAGGAGAAGCAGAGGAAGGCTGCTCTCCTGGCCCAGTATGCCAATGTGACTGACGAGGAGGAATATCCTTCCCTGTGCCGGCTGAGACTCGGGGCTTTGGGGGACAATGTCTGCTCTAAACCTCCTGCAGCAGCAACACCTTCCCGGCTTTGCAGGGTCTGGTGGGGAGAGCTGGGGAAACTTGCCAGTCTTCCTTCTCTGTGGTAAAATAACTTCTATGGACAAAGCATGAAAGCTCCCAGTCTGTGGAGTGCTGGGAGCAGATGCTCCTTGGAGGGTGTTTCTCCCACCAACATGTGGCTGTGAAGGTTTGCCCAGCCCAGGGGTGGCAGGAGACCCCTGTCCCTCTGTGAGATGGTGCTGAGTTTATCTCTTGCTTTCTCAGGAGAAATCTCCTGAAAAAATCCTTTACAGAGTGTGTGGAGTGGGAGGGTTTGGAGGTAACTCTTGGTGATGCTGAGGAGGGAACTCTTCCCTGTACAGCAGAGTGAATGGGAGGGAATTGTACCCAGCCCTGGAGCAGCAGGGGCTGAGCATGGGAGTTGTGCCTTCCTGGTCTGTGTGAGTTCAGCTGCTCCCTCCTGCCTTGAAAAGTTGTTATTTGAGGTGTTTGGAGTGGTGTGACTGTGGAGAGGCACAGGTTGATGTGCCTGTTTCCTTAATTCTCTCACCGGTGGGGACGAACAGGATGGACCGACTGGGACAGCAGTAAACATTGGATCTGAAAAATGTATCCTTTGAACTCCTGGTGACTTGGGCTGTTTGGCAGGCAGGCAGCCCCCATGGGGAGCTTCCCATCCTTCCTTTCCTGTGCTCATCTCCCTGTTTCTTTAGGGCCACCTTTCCAGCTTGGGGATTGGTTTTTCTCTCTGTGTAGCCCGACCTTGCAGTGACAGTGACACTGCCCTGTCAGACGGTTCTCCTTCCTCTCCCCTATTCCTTCCTTCCCTCTTTGACCTCCCTGCAGCTTCACAGAACAAGGACAGTTCTCCCAGAAGCTCAGATCAATGTTAACTAGTGTCCAAAGAGGGAAATCACACCAGGAATGAGGCTCCTCAGGCCACGGCACAGCTCCAGGTGGGCAGGACCAGGGGTCCTGTGTCCGTCTCAGGATGGTGACTTGGGACAGTCCTGGGGCTCCCAGCTGGCAAGTCTAAGATGGAAGCAGGTTTTATCACATAATTAAACATGAAACATAAATTATTCTTGTCGGTACGTTAGGGACAGATATGGATCTGTCTGCACTACATGCCTGTACACACATGTATGTGTGTGTTAGAACATGTCTCACAGCTGCAGTGAGTCCACTCAAGGCTCTACCCTGCGTGTTTTCTTCCTCTCAGGTTTGTAGAGGTTTGACACATTTTTTTACACATTCAGCCTTAAGAACCTGGAGACACTTTCATTTTTCTTGGAAAAAACTGTACAATCATTAAGGTTGGAAAAACCCTCTGAGATCATCCAGTCCAGCCATCCCCCAGCACTGCCAAGGCCACACTGACCCACGTCCCCAAGGCCACATTCAGACAGCTTTTAAATCCCTCCAGGGATGAGGACTCCACCACTGCCCTGGGCAGCTGTGCCAGGGCTGGACAGCCCCTTCCATGAAGGAATTTTCCCAATATCCAACCCCAGCTCCCTTAGCTGCTCCAGACCCTTCCTTCTCACGGAGCCTGCGATTATTCTACCTGGCTTTTCTATCTGGAAAAACAGATCCCTTTTCCTTTCTCCATTCCTCATTCCCCGATTCCTTACCTGCCTGGTGAGGAAGCAGAAGTGGGAGTTGGCAGGTGAAGGGGGAGGGTAGAATAAACTTGGCCGGAGCGTTGTGGGCCCTTAACTCCCCCAGCGCTGTTCCGGAACACCAACGTGGAGGATGTGCTGAACGCCAGGAAGCTGGAGCGGGAGCTGCTGCGGGATGAGTTCCAGAGGAAAAAAGAGCAGGATAAACTGCAGAGGGAGAAGGACAAACTGGCCAAGCAGGAGCGGAAGGAGAAGGAGAAGAAGCGGACACAGAAGGGCGAGCGGAAGCGGTAGCTGGTGATTCCCAGCTGGACTCTCAAGGGATAAAAATAATTCTGAATACGGTGTGTGTTTAAAAAGCAGCAGGAATTGTGGGCACATGGCTGGGAGTGGTTCTTGGGAAGTGTTTCCTTTTTTTTTGGCTTTTTTTGGGTTTGTTACATAGCAGAAAAGAAACTCTGAGCAGCTCCTGGAGCTGTGTGCCCTGTGCTAGTGGTGTCAGTGTCCCCGTTGGTGCTCGTGGCCAGTGTCTGTACCAAAGAAGGGTGATTATGTCCATGGTGTTCAATTGATCCATTTTTACTTCTGACCACCCCAGAGCAGAGCACGGTGGAGGAGTTTGTTCAGGTCAGGACACGCTGCTCTGGGGCAGATGTGGATTTATTTACACAAGCCTTGAAAAACATCTTTGCAAATCCCTGTGTTTGTGCTGCCAAGAACAACGCTACAGCCCTGCTCAGGCTGGAGCAGGATTGGAGCTGGGCTCAGTGTGGGCAGTGCTGGTCTGCAGCACAGCAATGAAGTGTGTGAACTAGAGATGAGCTGTAGCGACACGACTGCACCACCCGTGGGCTGTGGGTGAGGGAAACGCCCCGTGGGCCGGAGCATCGGCCTCCACAGCAGCAAACCACGCTCCTTACAGGATTTTAAGACTCCAGGTAGCTGGAAAATGGTGCTCCCCAGCTCCCTGATGTTCTGAGGGGGAGAACACAGACTGTTATTTCCACAGCTCTTGCCAGGGTGAAGCTCTGAGGCCGTCTGGGCACCGAGCAGGGCGAGCCAGGGATGCACTGGAGTCACCAGCCCGTTGCTCTCCCTGAGCACAGCTCCCATCAGGAATCAGGGTCCGAATGATTTTCCTGCCCCAAAGGGCTTGTCCCTGCTGTTCCAGCCTTTCTTGCAACGGTGTCACCCACCTTGGGAAGGAAAACACTAATCCTGTGAATGGAGGGGAAGGAGGAGCTGCAGCACTTTCAGGGCCCTGTGCCTCGGCCCTGTGCCACATCCTGCTCTGCTGCCCGTTGGCTGCGACGTGCCCTGTGTCCTGTGCTCCTGAACTCCTGAGCTCCTGAACTCCTGAACTCCTGAGCTCCTGAGCTCCTGAGCTCCTGAACTCCTGAGCTCCTGAGCTCCCAGGGTGCCTGACCCAGCACCTGCTTTTGGCACCGCTCTGACTGCAGGGCCGGGCCTCTCCTCACCCCCTGCTGCGCGTGTGACTCTGCAACTGCTTTGTCTTTGGACTTGAACAATAAATCTGGTTGGCCAAGACGTGGTTCCTCTGCCTCAGTGCCGTGGCAGTTCATGCTGTGGTGCCCATGGTGCAGTGCCCTCTGTCCCTGCTGGCTCCTTGCCCAGCAGCAGCATTTCAGAGGCGTCGCCCGTTGCTGCCGTGCTGCAGGTCCTGCTCCATTCACGCCTTGTTTCCCAGGGCTGTGGTGCCCCTTCCGCCCTTGCCAGGCGCTGTCCCAGCTGTGCCTCTCCCCAGGGCTCGGCTCCCAGCCTGGCCTGGTGCCCTGCGCTGGATCCTGGCTGGATCCCCGTGTTTTGGGTGGCTCAGGCAGCTGTTGAGGGTGGGGTTGTCACTCAGCCCCGGCCCTGTGGGAACGTGGAGCACAAGCCCTGGGCCGAGGCTCTGCCCGCCCGCGGGGCTCAGCCGCTGTTGGTGGCCCGGGCGATCTCACTCCTGCTGGCAGCTCACTTGCCCTGGCAGCAGCAGCTGCCCGCCCTTGCCAGCAGACGTTCTGGAGCTGGGCATCCAGAGCTCTGCCACCTGGCACTGACCTGCCCAGCCCTCGGCTTCCAAGGAAAACACCAGCCCAGGGCTGGAGCTGCCCCCCTGCAGGGACACTGCACAGCTGAGCCTCTCACGGCCTCTGGAGACGTTTGGTTGTGAGGAGGAGCAGTGTCCACCTCCCCATGAGAGGAGCACTGAGGCCCCTCTGTCCAGGAACAGGACACATGTGTGCACATTCCATCGGGTCTGTATGGATGCAAGAAGGGCACAGTCACACACACGGTGGGAACAGGCTCCCACAGCCCAGCAGTTCCCTCTGCAGCAGTTCCCTGCACCCTCAGCCGGGCGTGGGCTGGGCTGGGCTGGCCAAGGCCTCGCTCTGCTGTTAGGAAAGGCCCTGTCAGGGACGGGGATCAGGAGCAAGAGGAGGTCCAGCCCTTCAGCTTCCAGCCCTGTCCTGGGGCACTGCAGCCAGGAGCAGCACCATGGCAGCAGCTGGTGGTGTTGGGAACCCCAAGTGAGCTGATGCTTCCCAGCACATGAGGCTGCAGGGCTGCCCCTCCCTGCCCCCCGGGCTGTTGTCCCCTCTGCCCCCCAGAGTGGCCCCCCCTTCCCACAGTTTGGGCTCCTGGGCAGGCACCGACTCAGCCTCTGGAGCTCTGGAGCGCTGCTGCTCCACTGGTGCCCATCCAGGACAGTCAGCAGTGCATGGCTGGCACCAACACATGGGAGTTATTTATAGAGCAGGAATATTCTGGACTCACTCCTAAGAATCCCAGTGCAGATGCTGGAATTGCTGCATCAGCTTTCCCTGGCAATGCAAAGCTGGGAGACAATGAGACATTTGCAGGGAAAAGAAATTCCCCACTGTGGCTCCCTTTGGCATTTCCATCTGTATGGGTATGGCTCTCTCCATGATTTCAGCACCCCCTTTGCTTTATCCCCCTAAACACACTTCCATAAAGGACTGAAGGTTTCACCTCCAGTAGCATCTTAGGCTTGAGGAGCCCGGCCTGGGAACACACTGACAGAACAAAAGCTCTTCAGCAAAAGTGAATTTATTTCCTACAGACGACTCCAGCCAGTACAGTCAGTTTTGCTTTAACATCAACACAGCCTGGGTTAAACTGAACAAACCCCAGTGCAGTGACTGCTGTGAAGTTGTGCTTGTTCTGCCCCAAAACACTCACCCCGGCAGCGCTTCTGGTCATTGCAGTGATCACACGCTCACCCACCTTCTGCTGAGCCTTCTGCAGTCGCTTCTGTCACATCATCCAGTGGCAATTTATATGGTGCCATCACCCCTTCTGCCCACCAGCATTCCCAGCACAGGAGGAACAGAGCCCTGGCAGTACCAGGCTGTCCAGGCACGGACAGCTCAGTGACTTTACCCCACCATGTCCCAAGGGTGGATCCTCCTCCTCCTCGAGCACACGGTGAATCAGCCACTCCTGTTCCTACAGACTGAGCTGCAGGAAACACCGGTGCTGGGAGCTGCCCAAAGGCAGAGGGGAACAAAGAAGTCTAAAAGCCGACAATCAAATTTCAAACCAAACTAGTGAAAGACTAACTTCAAGAAAACCCAAGTTTCAGAACTTTGCGCTACCTCTTCCAAATTTAAATTCATTAAAAACAACGCTCATTATTGCAGCTGCTGCACAGCTCTGCAGGACAATCCTGTGTGCCTGTCGTAGTTTGATTAAGCTTAAATACTTTAAAACAGAGGTTCCTTTGTTCCCAAGAGCATGCCCAAATATCCGAACACATTCACTACATTCATGGTTTCACACAGCAATAATTGGTAATTTAGTGGAACCTGGTGCATATCTCCTTTCCCAAACATAGATTCTAAAATCTCAAGTTCATAAATATTTGTATTTTAAATATCTAATTTGACATGAATATTGGGTATTCTTAGGCTTTTTTCCTCCTGTTTCCAGGTTTTAGTTCGATAAGGAAACTGTAATACATTACAATGTGATCTGACACCAATCTCACACCCCGTCACGCCACAGTCTCTAAGAACCATTATTTAAAAACTTATTTCCAAAAGCAAAACTAAAAAGTTATCGGGAGAGTTGGACACCAGGGTTCACCCGCAGGAGATAAATAACATCTTGGCTGTTAATGAATTAGTGTGATTATTTTTTTAAGTTAACATTCACCAGTTTGGCTTTCCAACAATCTGACCCTGCCTGTTAACAGCTTAACCTGAGAGCCCTTAAGGCAAATCCCACTTCTTGTCAAGATACAGCTTTAAATACGAACATTAGCAGTTGAAACTTTGAAGCAACCAAAAGGAATCAGAGATTAGGAGGCGCTGGCGTCCCCTCTCTCGTACACCCCTCGCAGCAGGTCTGTGCAGGGCGCGGGGGCTCCTCCCTCTGTGCCCACCTCCCTCAGCCCCCGCGGGGCCGGGGCCGCACCCGCGGCGCTTTCCAGTCGCTTCTCCTCGGTCGGTGCCAGCTCCTGGGGGACTCTGTCCCGGGCCCGTTTTCCAGCGGAGGGTTTGGGCAGGGTCATCTGGAAGGCGCACCACAGCACGGTCCGGACCTTGCGCGTGGCCTGGCACAGCGCTCGGAGTGCCACGGCCAGAGCCAGCACCACTGCGGGGGAAAGGGCCCTTTAGTGCTGCCACCCTGCTGGGGCTCCCTCAGCCCACACCTCGGGCCCTCGGAGCTCTGCCCTTGCCTGGCTCTGAACAAGTGTGTAAGAGCTGCACCTGAATTTCTGTGGTTTGAGTGCTGAGGGTGCTGCAGCCCCTCCCGCCGCCCTGCACACCGGGCTGGGCTGCTCTGTGCACACACACACTCGGGCACAGGCGGGTCCTCCACCTGCCCTGCCAAGAAATCTGTGTGACAGGGGAAGGAGCGGCTCGTTTGGGGCACCGGCTGGAGCAGACAGGTCACGTTACGAGTGTTGTAGCCCAGTGCTGCAAAGGGGCACGTGGGCAGTGGTCCCATTATTCTGGCACAGGGTGCCCAGAGAAGCTGTGGCTGCCCCAGCCCTGCAAGTGTCCAAGGCCAGGTTGGATGGGGCTTGGAGCAACCTGGTCAAGTGGAAGGTGTCCCTTCCCATGGCAGGGGGTGGAATGGGATGGGATTTAAGACCCCTTCCTACCCAAACCATCCTGTAATTCCATGATAGATGGAAGAGAAAGGTGCTGTGGGAACAGGGCTGGGCCAGGGAAGACCTGCTCCCAAACAAACCAAAACCATTAACAAGAAAGCTCTGCCAAAGAGAGGAGCTGTGCAGCTTCAGGCCCTTCCCTCGAGGCTTTCCCAGACACACAGTAAATACAGATACTGCATTCAATAATTTACTGTTTGAAAAATCCTCTCCAACTGCTGCCCCAGGCTCCCTCTCCTCTCTACTCCAACTCTTTCCCATACTATCCTGTTCCAAAGAGCTCACAGATCTAGTAGTGCCAGGTAAAGCCAGAGCCAATTATTTTCAAGGGCTTCAACACCCAAAAAACCCACCCTTCACCTTGACAAGTCCCATAATCTTCAGTCAAGATACAGAGAAACAAGAATGACGGTGAACAGCTGAAAAAAAAAGCCTGCTGTGATTTATCTTTTGAGGTAAACTTGGGAATGACAGAACACCCCAAAGAAGTAAAATAATCCCTGTAGTTCAGATGTGGAAAGGAAGGCAGAGGAGATCAGGGGACTCAGAAATGTCAGACAGCTTCTGACACAAGGCAGGAGGTCAGGGAGCAGGAATTTATCCTGACTCCCACCTAAGGGACAAGGGAACCTGCCACTCTGCCTGTGCACTGGTGAGAGATTAGGCTGAGTATTTGGCTTATTTTGGATACCAATAAGAATGAAAACATTCTGACCAATGTATTTTTGTGTATCCGTCCAAAATATGATTTATATTTATGCCAGTCTATGACAGAACAAGCTTGAAGAGGAAATCCATTTGTAACCCAAGGCCATCTCTGTCTCTTTGGGCAGATTCAGCATGGAAATACTAGGGAAGTTCTACACAAAGGCAGAGCTGAAGGGTTGCTGGGAACAGGAATATGAGGGACAGGGAGAAAAAAGAGGCAATAGCTTAATTCATCTCCAAACCCTGAGTGTGTTACCAAAAAAACCCACTAATTTCTACTCCTTGCTAGTTCATTAATTGAATAAGCACACTCTAAAGTGATTTAACCCATTTATCTCTCAACCCCAGTTTCAGTGTCCCCTCAAATCCTCATCCAAACCCCACCCAGTCTGCCTTTGGCAAAGCTCCAACACTGAAAAATAAACTAAAACTTGAATACAATCCCCCTCCCTTATGTTTTACAGCCTTGCACCATGTGCACAACTTCCCAGGTGCCTTCCAAAGGCACACAAGCCCAGCTCACCTCTCTCATCCTGGCACCGGGGGGGGCCGTGCCGCTGCCGGTTGGAAGGGTTCACAATCTCATCCTTTCTCCGTGCCTGCACCACATGGATGGACTCCAGGTGTTTGTCCAGAGCAGTGGAGATGTTGGCATGGAGGGGGGAACTGCGAAGGCGCTCCATCTTCCCCAGTAAGGTCACAACCTGACCAACAGTGCACACGTTACAGGAGGTCACACCGTGCTCACCTGCACTTACCAGAGAACTCGCTAATTAGGAAGACGAGGTTAATGATAACCATTATTTTCCTTTGAAACAGTTCATAAAGTTATAGCTGAAGCAGTTTTAAGTTCTTACCTGGGATTTGTTCATCTCCAAACCCGAAGCTGCAGCACAACAGCAAAGCTACAATGCCCCCATACGAGGACCCCCAGCCCACTGGTTAATAACAGATCTGTGCAGCTTCCAGACATCCCTGGAACAGGAGGTGGTTCCATGACAACATGCATTTCCCTGAATCCAGAGCACTGAGGTCCTCCCTTCCTGCAGCACTGCTGCAATTCCTGGGTGATCCCCTTGTGCTGTGCAGGGCAGCTGGACTGGGAAAGGGAAGGCTGCTGTGGAACCACACGTGTGGGTTGGCTTTTGGGATGAACTCTCAGCCTAAAGGAGCTGAGCACAAACATTCAGGTTTCTTTGCTCCACTGAAAATCTGCATCTTTGCTGTCTTGTTTATCCTACACCAGTCACATCACTGGGTTTCCCCATGGTGAGTGACTGCTCAGCCATGTTCCCAGAGCACTGAGAACCTGGTCACTGCTTTGCAGAAAGAGGTAAGACTAAAAATCCCCAAGTGGTAATATTCCTTGGGCCATGGCTACACTTGATTGCCTAAAGTAACCAAAGTAAAGGGTGTGATCTCCAAGAGAATTTAACTGCATGCTCCACACTACGAAGAGTTAATCCCAGATTGAGCCAACTCAGCTTCCACTCCAACCTTTGTTCCTCTCTGACCATCACTGAGCTGTCTGATGTTAGAACCCAGGTTCAACAGCCCCATTGTGCTTTTGAGCATCCTTAAAACTACTTCTCAGTTGCCAACAGTTGCTAACAAGAATTTGAGGTTCTATACCCTGAAGTTTGGTTTCTCAAATGGCTACAGAGGAGGGAGTCCTGTTTTAGAGGCAGGTTTAAGGTACCAGGGCAAGGACAGGCAAGCCTTCTAAACGTGGAACCTTCCCAACCCTGTTCTTTTGGGATAGAGTTTTAAAGGTCTTTGCCTGTGCTCTCCCCACTGGGTGAACAGCCCCAGACTGTGAGCAGACACAGCCCCATGGATTATTCCACCTGTGTGAGGCCGGTAGGACATCCTGCTCCTCACCCCTGCTGCTTCCAAATCCAGCATTTCCCAGAATCCTTTCAGCCCACAGCCCCTGGCAGGGACAGCTCTTGTCTCTGCTTCTCCTCCTCCTGCAGCACCAGCACCCTGGCTCTGGCTCTGGGCCTCAGGAGGGGCACAGCAGCCCCTCAGCACCCCGCTGGCAGCTCAGGTTTTGTGCTCACCCCCCTGCAGAACCCTGCCAGCTGCTGCCTCCCCAGGGCTGCACAGAGCCACTGCAGCTCAGCAGACCCCAGTCACACTTGCCCTACAGGTTATGGCTCTCTGGATTAAGCAGCAAACTAATAACAGAAATTCAGGCTGAAATTGCATCAAATAACCATTCTGCATTAAAAAATAACAGACTCTCAAGCAAATATATATCAAAGTCTTTCAAACATTAATTAAACTTGCTGTTCCCCACAAATACCTCCTCCAACCCAGTGCCTACAAATCCACAGTGAACACCTCCCTGCTGAGCTCTGAGAATGCAGCACACCTGAGAGCTGTGCAGGCACAGGCTCCAGGGCTGGGTGCTGGCACCACGTGCAGCTCTTGCACCAGAACCCACATCCTCTGGGCACGTGGGGATGTAACCGTGAGCCCCAGCCCTCCGAGGCTCCCTGGTAACAGCACAGGGATCCTGGAGCTGCAGAAACTCCAGCAGGATCTGCTGAAATGTTATTCTCTGCACAGAACAAAGCTATTTTGGGAAAAGCTGCTCTGATCATCTTACCTATCTCACACTGTACTCTAAGTTCTGTAGGATAAGTTCAATAGATTTTTTTTTTTAGTCCTACAACTCACTCTGGCTTGTTCCCGTAGCTGATCCACAATTAAGCGATCGACTCTTGATGGATTTGATGTCAGTCTTGGAATTGGGATGTTGTTAGTACTGGAAACCTTTTTCCCTTGGAAATTCTTAGCAAGAGCTGATTCAGTCTGCAGGAAAACAAAAGAACAACTCCCTCAGAATGTACGTGCGGCGTGTGCTTTATTACAGAAACAAGAAAAAATATCAGATATTCCATTTCTTCCCCTCAGGGTTTTGGATTTTTTTAAAGGAGATAATGAGGATTCAGGCATTTGGGATTTAACCCTTCGGTGAGACAATCACCTGCTTTAAGTGAACAACTGCTTTACTCAAAGCAGTGCAACTAAAGCAATCATGCCAACACACCGTGTTCCAGCAGTGCTATGTCTGCTCACTCTGACTACAGCCTGAACTGGTTTTGCCTGGAAATAAAATGGAGGCAAGTCAGAATTACAGGGAAAAAAAATGACCAAACAGATGTGGATCTCACACATAAATTAAAACTGTCTCAGTCAGCAATTTACCTAATTTTGTAAAGATTACTTAAACTACAGAAAGATTTTTTTTTTTCTGAGCAGCCTGGTCTAGTGGAAGGTGTCCCTGACCAGGGCAGGGTGGTGGAACTGGATGGCCTTTAAGGTCTCTTCCAACCCAAACCATCAGAAAATTACTCTGAAATCTGATTGCAAGACTTCAAATGTCAGTCTCTTTGACTCCCTTTTTATGTCACTCTGAAACACCCATCACAACATCTAATTAGCTAAATCTGCTTTAAAATTGCATTTCTTGGGTGGTTTCATAGTCGTTCGCTATTTACAAGATCGTGGAGTGTCAAGACAAGGGGCAATGGCTTCACACTGAGAGAGAGTAGGTTTAGATTGGATATTAGAAAAAACATTCCCTGGGGGGTGGGGAGGCTCTGGCACAGGGTGCCCAGAGAAGCTGTGGCTGCCCCAGCCTTGGAAGTGTCCAAGGCCAGCTTGGACGGGGCCTGGAGCAACCTGGGCTGGTGGAAGGTGTCCCTGCCCATGGCAGGGGGTGGCACTGGATGGGCTTTAAGGTCCTTTCCAACCCAAACCATCCTGTGGTTCTACGCCAAAGCTGCAGCTGAATTTCCCCCACCATCCCCTGGCCATGCACGTGCCAACTGCTCCTCCCCTGCATTTTCCATGCACCCCAGACATCATCTCCCCTCCTCAAGCTGGGCTCACTCTCCCCCAGCCCCTCTGTTCAAAGCAACCATTGGCTTTTCTCAGGAAACACTTCAGCAAAACCCCCCTGTGTCACATTCCCTTGAAATTAGGTTTCTTTGGGGGGCTGGCACAGGAGAGCTCCCAAAGGCCCCACTATTGCCAGGTAACATTTGGCCCAGCTTCCCCCACAGACAGTCCCACGTACCGAAATTCAAACCCCATCCACCTGGTGAAATGAGGACAAGTTTTCCTACTGCTGCTGACCAAAAAGGGCAATTGCTTTCAGCAGGGCTTCACACAGCACTACCTGAGCCTTTCAGTTCAATGGTTTCAACTGAATGACCCTTTCTTCAGCTTCTGTTTCTGGGGGAAAAAAAGAGCCCCTTCACATACATCTTAGGTTTAAACCTTCAGGGAAACAGAAGGTGAGAACTCATTGTAGCACCTAAGAAATTGAATGGAAAGAAACTGTATTTACTGTATTAATAAATAAGGTGTAACATATCTTTGTTACTCACGAACACGCCTTCCCCAGCCCAACCCTGAGACTGGAAAAGCCCCTGAATTCCTGCTTTAAGTGCAACGTTCCATACAATGTTAGTTACGCTCCCAGCAGGCTACAAACCTCCACACCCTCCCTTCTCAGTCCCAAACATACAGGGAAGCAAACTTGTAACTTTGAAGTCCCGTTAAACATTTCAACTCCCAACAGCACAACCACCTGCGACTGCACTGAGCAGGATGACAGCTACATCAAATCTGTGATGTTAATTTAGTTTGGGATTTTTTACCTTCTTCCTTTCCTTCTCCAAAGCTCTCCACTGCTCATAGCACTCCTCCAGCCTCACGTGCAGCTCGCTGGCAGGGCCACTGCGGTTCTTCACTTGCTTCTGAAATCCAAATGCTGACACAAAACCAGAGAGAGCACTGTCACTGTACATCTTGTCTGTGAAACAGGGGTAGAGGCGTTTAAGATCATCTTGGGAGAACAAGGTGTGAGGCTCCACCAGAGGCACCACGGAACGGCCCAGGAGGTGAGCGGATCTCACAGGGAACGTGCCGGAACCCAGCTGCCGGTTCCGCCTGAAGTCTCCCACCACGCAGTTGGGAATGCCTGGAGCCTGCAGGCTGCTGCCAGGATTGATGGCATTGCTGTCCCCGCTCCCTGCCCTGAGATGGAGCTGCCCCTGAGACTCCAAGAGCTCTTGGTACATGTCCTGCAACACCCCATCTGCCTGGTTCTGTCCTTCCAGGTCGCAGTGCTCGCTCTGCGGCTTCAGCTGGAAACGCTGTTTGTTCAGATTGTCAATGATCCCAAACTGTTGAGCCAAGTAACTGTCACAGAATCCATTTGGCTGCTTCAGCTTCTTCTCACTGAGGTACTCGATGATGTTCTCTTCTCCACCCCTAACCAGGGCTTCCACACATGCAGCTGCCCGAGCTCGTTCCGCAGCACTGTAACCCAAGTCGAGGCCAGAGAGAAATGGGTTGTCTTGACAGTACTTGTGAAGTAAATTACAATTTAAAGGCAAATTTGAAGATGGCAACTGAAAAACATCATTAGAATGACTGGAACTTTTTGGAAATGCAGGTGACTGATTATTCACCTTCAACAAAGGACCTGGATTCTGGAAGGGGGTGGAAGCAGCGGGTTTGGTTTGGATGTTCATCCACGCTGGCCTCGCACTAGAGCCTGCTGAAGGAACTGCTGCATTGGGCAACAGTGAGAGTGATTTATAGAATTCAGGATTCTGAAGATCGGCCTTGGAAAACTGCTGCTTTTCCATACCATTATTCCCTGGACAAGCTGCAAAAGACTTTAGTCCATATTCAATTTTTTGCCCAAAATCAGTGCTGAAGGAAGGTTCGTTTGCAAACTGTTTTTCTGATACAAGTCCTACAGACTTGGGAAATGTAAAGTCATGCTGATCTGAAATTGTATCTTCGAATTTTTTCTGAGTTCCTGATTTAACTTGAAATAATTTAGCATAGGGCTCTGCATCCAGAGATGGTGCCTCGGGGGTTCCATTTACCACCTTTCTATTTTCTTGGAGGCTACAACTGGTGCTCTTGTTGGGCTTTGCCTTACCAGGATGAGAATATTCAGTGTATCTGCTATAATCTGTGCTTTCACTGTATCTGTGACACTGTGGAAGGAATGTTTCTGCCCGCTTTGGGCGCACCTGTGCGTCTGCTCCCTTGGGACACATCTTCTCCCTTCCGTAAGAATAAGCATCAGCTCCTGAGTCTTTGATTGCTTCTGAGTACCCAGCCTGGGGTAAAAAGGTGTTTTTCAGGTAGGGGTAGTTCTGATACACAGGAGTTGTCTTCACACCCTCGTTACTCTGCATGTTGGCACGCTCACCCCTGGGAGGGTACAGGCTCTGCTCTTCCAGCTCCACGCCGGCAAAGCCGCGGTAACAGTCGTCTGCTTTCTGCTGGGACACCAGGCTGGCACTGGCCAGGAACTGCTTGTCAGCAGCAGGGACAGACTCACTGCTGTAGAAGCCCTGCTGTGGGACAGCTGCAGCACGCCTGCTTTCTGCCAGCAGGTCGTGGTGGTCCATTCTGCTCGCATTCACTGGCCATACCGACTTCAGGGTGGGAGGGCAACTCCTTGGGAAACAAGAAACACACAGTTAGAGTCCAATCCGTGGTGCTGCTCTTCATTCCCAAACACAAAAGGAGGTTTAAGAACCCGGTTCCTCCCTAATCGTTCCAAGATGTCTGACTTCAACTTTCACCCATTCCTGTCCTCTCCAGTTTCCCTCACCCAGCTGAGAAAACTGATTCTGCCTTGTGACAACCCACCCCACAGCTCAGGAGCTACGGCCACACCTTTAAACTGCAAGAGATGTGTACAGACCAAATCAGGGTCCATCAGTGCTGTCAGGAGAGTTACTGTCCATCCCCACCGAAATCCTCCTGGTTCAGCACCAAGTTCAGGTAACCAAACTGCCCTCAGCCTTCCCAAGCCACGTCCCAGCACTCCAGAGAAAGCTTCTCTCTCACCTCACTTGTGCCTTACACTGGCCTGCACTGCTTCCTGCAGGTAGAGCCAGGGGCAGCATCTCAGCACACTTCCCTTCCTTCCACCAATCACCAGGAATTAACCAGGACAATCTATCCCTCACTGACAAGGAAAACTGTAAACAGACTAAGTAAAAGGGAAATTGTGCATGGAAGTCACTGCAGGCCAAATCTGGGAGTACTGAAAACAGAATTCCAGCCCTGCCTGTCCAAAGCAAAGGAGTTACTGAGTTATCTCATGACCAAGATTGACTCTCTGAAGTTTTCCCCCATTTCAGCCACATAGCACACATATAGAAATCCCTGGAATTGTTTGGGAAGACAGAAAGAAAAAGCAGTGCCTGCATTGGGAACCTGAGAGTTGGAAAAGACAGGGAACTCTGAAAATATCTTGGGGATGCTGGACCTGCATCCTTCTGTGCCATGTGGTTATGACTATCTAATTGTCCCTCCTGGTGCAGGAATATAGGCAAAATAAACCTGACATTTAGATATGCAAATATTGCTCAGGTAGCACGAACTGCAAGAAACATTCATTTTGCATGGAATTGTCCCCTGCCATTTCAGGAAAGTGTGAAGGAGTCTGATTTGTGTATTCTTTCTGTGTATTGACATTGATTAAGACAGAAACCTCAAGCCTAAATTCAGTCTTGATTTAAAAGACAAGAGGCCAAGGCATACATCCAAGGGATTTATTTGAATACAGCATGTCCACAACACTCGTTAAGGCCTTATTTTAAAAATACCAATTAAAAAGTTCTGTAAATACCAGAGAGCCAGAAGCTGCCATGCAATCTGAGTGCCTGGAGAAAAGATTGCAAGGATCCCAAGCGAAACATTGGAAGATCAGGGGAAGGAAGGGGAAGCACGAGGTCTGGGCAGCAGCAGATGTGGAGCCAATTAATGAGCACAGTGAGATCAGGGAGGGGAGTTCCTGTCAGAGAACACCTCAGCAGCAGCACCTGCACCACACTCACCCCTCAGCAAAGCACGGCTGTGGTTTGTCTTGTTCTTCCAGGATGTTTGACACGAGTCCATATAAATCTGTTTCACTGCCATAATCGTTCCTTTCGGGCTGAATCCTGAAAACCAAGTGGGTATTAATTAAAACAATTCCTTCATTCAAAGGATTTCCTAAGTTAAATGAAACAAACAAATCTAATCCATCTACTCCACCGACACACACACACTCCCTGCCAAGGATGACTACCTGGGCTTCAGGTTAATCTGAGGAGCGGCGGGCTGCTTGCTGTCATCTGCACATGTAGACCAGGGGGGGTACAAGAGGGAAGGGTCCATGGGTGCAGAGTACTCTGATGTTGAAAGGGAAGAGCTGTAGGTCTGAGGTAACTCCACATTTTCTTCATTCTGCATTTAATGTAAATAAAAGCACTGATTTAGTATTAAACACATCAAGCTGTCATTTTGCCGTTCCATGTGGTTATAACCAGGTTCTTGGAGGAACCAGCACATGAGAACCAAGATCCACACACTGGGAACACAAAAATTAAGCAGAATTACCTGTATCTTTAAGTAGGATTCTCTTAATCTTTAAGCAGAATTCTCTGTCCCTCCCCTTGCTCTCTGTGGCAGATGGAAGCTGATGGCATCATTCTCACCTTTAACCCCTCTTTTGAATACAAACACATGTTCTCAGGTGGGTTAAACAGCTGTTGCTTTAATGCTTATGGAAAGCTTTTGTATTTCTGTCCTGCTTGGCAATGGTTTGAGAAGATGTGGCCCTGGAGCTGCAGCTCACACCTCTGGCACTCAGCCTTGGCTTCCGTGTGTCCTGAGCTGAGCTGGCTTGAAACTGAGGAGGGGGCACCTCCCCAAACCACCTCCAGAGACCCCAAAGAGGCCCAGACAGGCGCAGGAACAAGCGCTGCCTACGGCTGTGCAGGCTCAGTGACTCTGCATTAGGTAGGCAGGTTTATGTAAACTTTAGTGTATAAATCTCTCTCTTTTTACTCCTTGGTATTCGTGGAAAATTTCCACCTTGTACCCTGTGCTGAATGAACAATGTCTCCTTTCTCAACCTGCCCCTTTGCCTGTGTTTAGAGTGTTCCTGAAATCAGCCCCAGATTCGGTGGCCCAGGTGGGACAGGGGTGAATGGGACCAGGATCCCAGGCAGCAGCTGCCAATGGCTGCAGGAATCACCAGGAGCACTCCAGCACTGGTGAGATTTACCCAGGGACTCCTCCCTGGGACCCCTCAGGTGGGAAGTGCCAGTGGGATACCCTTTGCAGAGACATTGCTAAAATTGGTATTTTGGTATCCCAGGTCTCCCTGACTAAAATCATAAAGTAAAATACACGTGTCAGAGGAGTACTGGGTAGCAGTATTTAGGCTAAAAATTTGGTTCTCGGTACTTGGTTTCTGTCAGGCACAACTCAGTGATGACCAAAGTGTATAAGGTATCATATTTTATATATACTGTATCTTGGTTGGTTTTGAGCACACATTGTTTTGTAATTGTCATGATTACTGTTTGTGACTGTTTGCCAACACGGGTGCTGGAAGTTCTGCCTCGTTAGAAGAGGGAATTGTGAAAGCCTCACCTTAGGCTGTGTTTTAGGACATTGGGGGAAGTTTGGAGGGGATCTCCCTGCCAGAAAAAAGTCAATTATATATTGTAACCAGTGATGGCCTGTGTATGCATTAGAGAAAAACGGTCTCAGAATGGAACTCTGAACTATAATACCATCATACAGGATGTAGTTCATGTTATTTTGTCACTGAGAAAGAAAATGGGACATTTTTCTTTGCATCGTGGAATAATTAAAATGCTCAAAAGGACTGTGAAGTGATGAGAGCAGACATTAATGTTTTAGCATTAGACACAGGAAAAGGAAGTGTAATGAAAAGGATGAGGTGGAGAAGAGCAAATAAAGAAGAAGTGGCAAATGCAGTGACTCCTCTGGTGTGGGTGACCAGTTCTCCTGGAAGATCACAAGAAGCAAAACTGGTAATGATCCAGTTAAAACCAGGCACCAGACCAGTAAGAAAAGGACAATACTCTATGAAACTGGAAGCTAGAAAAGGACTACAGCCAAACAGGGAAAGATGCATTAGCTCTGGGAATGCCAGTCTGAGTTTAATACCCCAGTGCTACCAGTTCAGAAACCACACTCGGATGAATACCAACTAATCCAAGATTTAATAGCCATAAATCAAATAGTGCAAGATGTGCATTCAGTTCTAGCCAACCCATATATACCCTTGTAACCACATTAAAAGAGACTGATCAGTGGTTTACAGTACTAGACTTGTAAGATGCTTTCTTTTGTGTCTCACTGCACACAAGAAGTCAGGAGCTATTTGCATTTTAATGGGAGGATCCATGAACAGGGCAAAAGACTCCACTATGCTGGACTCTTATACCACAGGGATTTAAGAAGAGCCCTATGATTTCTGGAAAACAATGTAAAATTGTGTATCCTTGGGATTGGAATGGGAAGCATCACAAAAAGTACAGTGAAGAAATGTGAACTGTGTGCACAGATCCAGCCTTGGCCAGCCCTCACGACAAATCCAAAACGGAACAGACCAGGAAGCTATTGGCAAATTGATTTCTCTGAATTCTCATGGCAAAACGGCTATTGATACTTATTGGTGCTGGTGGATACATTTTCTGGGTGGCCTGAAGCTTTTCCCTGTCCAACTGACCAGGCTGAAGGGGCAGGCAAGGTTCTGTTGGGAGAGACCATTCCTAGGTACAGGATACCCAAAGGTGTGTCATCCAACTGTCCTGGTTCTGGGCAGGACAGGGTTAATTTCTGCAGTAGCCAGGAAGGGGCATGGCCATTGCCAGGGGTGAGGCAAAGGGACTCTCTTCTGGGGAGCAGGGGCTCCTTCTGGTCAAGGAAAGTGGCAGAAGGAGCTGCTATGGGGAGTTTTTCCACGTGAATTGTTTCTTTTCTTGTAATCTTCTGTCATTAATACTGTTGCTGTTACTGTTTGTTTTCTTATCTCAACCCATGATCTTTGCCTTTTTTGTCTCTCTCCATCCCACCACAGCAGGGAGGGAGAAACAGGAGTGAGAGAAAACAAGGTGGGGCCACTGAACTGTACCATTGCCAAGCCATGACAGCCTGAACTGATGCCCAGTGTGGGGCACAAAGGGCTGTAGTGATGTCATTAATTACCTCTCCAGGGAAAGTTTTGTCCTCTATCAACAGGTCTCTTCAGCACAGGAATCCAACTGGATTGGACCTTCCTGTTCCTGACATCCAGGTGGGAGCTCGGGTCTAAGATCATGGAATAACGAGCCACTAAAGGAACACTGGAAAGGAATGTATCAGGGTCTCACAACACACACAGCTGTGACACTTCAAGGACTAGAGCTGTGGAACCCACTGAAGAAAACTACAGGACCAGAAAACTGAGAAGTCACCCCCTCTGGACCTCTGGGACTAAACAAACTGAAAAATAACTTCCTGAACTGCACCTGGGAGGAAGGCCTGTCTTATGTAGAACTTGAATGCCCTCAAGGGGCAGCAGCATCTCTAACTGCAGTAATTATTTTAGACAAACACAATTCCATGGACCAGCACTGCCAAGGCACTGCCAGATGTCCCACTTGGTATAATGTTGGTACCATTTTACAGTGGTTGAGCCCCTTACTGTGACAGGAATTGCTTTAGCCTTTCTGAATATGAAACTTATACGGGTAACCCTTTTATTCCTTCTTGTCCAGTCAATACTGTTACAAAAAACCAGTTGTACGATGGTTTAAAGAGAATGGAAGAGAATTTAAATTATTAATTAATGTTACAACTGAAGGTGAATCTGCCAATGTACACCCCCTCGAATTCCCTTTGAGGCATAAGGAGGATGAAGGTAAACATCATGGCTGAGCCATAGGAGATGAGGCAGCAGCAGAGGGCCATTGGATACAAGGAAAGGTAAAAGGAAAACCCTTCCCTGAATGCCTCCCAAAGCCCCTCAATCTGGGAAATTGGCCTGTACATAACAAAGGAGGTAGGGAAACAACAAATACTATTTAATACTGACTGTGCTTAAAAAGTAAAGTCTATGACATTCATCCCATTATTGCTCTAGGTGTGATCAATAATGGAACCACAATGTATCCAACTGAACGTGGAGTAAAGAAACACATGAGAAGCCATAGACATCAGCACCTGCAGAGAACAAGGGTTTGTCTGTGAAGAAATAGAACTGAAGCTCAGGATATCTGCCCAGATACACAACAGAACACCTGTAATTCTGAAATTCCACCAGAGATCAATATAAAAATGGTACTTGTATACACAGGAAAAGGGGGTGTGTGCTTTAGTACTCCTTGTGAATGCACAGAAACAAAAACCAATTAAATCACATTCTAATTGTTGTGTTTGTAAATTTACCCAGATCTGAGGCTGTGATTTTAACTACTCAGCCTCAGTAACTTCCTTCCAAGTAATGAAACCAAAATATACCTTAATTTCAAATATACAACCTACTCCTCTGGGGAGTCCAATAAAGAAATTGCTACAACATAAAAGTTTGCAAAGGCTGTTAAAAGAAACTAAAGAGAGTAGCAGAAAGACTTTATTACTGTCCATCACAACAAAAAGAAACCCATCAGGTAATGGAAAGAGTAAAGAAAGCTGGAAATCACCATTGGTGGGTATTTCATTCAGATGGTCTCCAACAGCATCAGGAATTTTTAATAAAATGCTACATCATCCCACAATTCTCTTGTTAACACCAACCTGTTTGTTTTAGTGCTAGGATTGTATATAAAATGTGGAGAACGGTGAAACAGCTACCTTCAAGATTTAAATATAACTGGGAACAATAGTAGCCAAAAGCATGTGGAAGTTTTTAATATAATATTTCAAAAACTTGCAAAGGTGGGAATTGATGTCTTTAAGCAGAATTCTCTGTCCCTCCCCTTGCTCTCTGTGGCAGATGGAAGCTGATGGCATCATTCTCACCTTTAACCCCTCTTTTGAATACAAACACACGTTCTCAGGTGGGTTAAACAGCTGTTGCTTTAATGCTTATGGAAAGCTTTTGTATTTCTGTCCTGCTTGGCAATGGTTTGAGAAGATGTGGCCCTGGAGCTGCAGCTCACACCTCTGGCACTCAGCCTTGGCTTCCGTGTGTCCTGAGCTGAGCTGGCTTGAAACTGAGGAGGGGGCACCTCCCCAAACCACCTCCAGAGACCCCAAAGAGGCCCAGACAGGCACAGCACTGGTTTAGGAAGGGCAGGTCCTGTCTGACCAACTTGATCTCCTTTTATGTTCAGGTGCTGTGGATGTGTCTGCCTGGACTTCAGCAAAGCCTTGGACACCGTCTCCCATGGCACACTCCTGGAAGAGCTGCAGCCACAGCCTGGACAGGGACACTCTGTGCTGGGTCAGGAACTGGCTGGAGGGACGGGCCCAGAGTGGTGGGAACAGTGCTGTGTCCAGGTGGGATCCGGTCACCAGTGGTGCCTCCAGGGATCAGTGTTGGGCCCAGTTCTGTTTAATCTTTATCAATGATCTGGATGAGGGGATGGAGTCCACCATCAGCAAATTTGCAGATGACACCAAGCTGGGGGGGAGTGTTGATCTGCTGGAAGGCAGGAGGGCTCTGCAGAGGGACCTGGACAGGCTGGATCCATGGGCTGATTCCAAGGGGATGAGGTTCAACCAGGCCAAGGGCCGGGTCCTGCACTTTGGCCACAACAACCCCCCGCAGCTCCAGGCTGGGCCAGAGTGGCTGGAGAGCAGCCAGGTAGAGAGGGAGCTGGGAGTGGGGATGGACAGGAAGCTGAACAGGAGCCAGAGTGTGCCCAGGTGGCCAAGAAGGCCAATGGATCCTGGCCTGGCTCAGGAACAGTGTGGCCAACAGGGCCAAGGAAGTGATTCTGCCCCTGGACTCAGCGCTGGGGAGGCCACCCCTGGAGTGCTGTGCCCAGCTCTGGGCCCTCAGCTCAGGAAGGACATTGAGGGGCTGGAGCAGGTCCAGAGAAGAGCAACAAGGCTGGGGAAGGGACTGGAGCACAAGTGCTGTGAGGAGAGGCTGAGGGAGCTGGGGGGTGTTGAGCCTGGAGAAGAGGAGGCTCAGGGGAGACCTCCTCACTCTCTGCAACTCCCTGACAGGAGGGGGGAGCCGGGTGGGGGTTGGTGTCTTCTCCCAGGAAGCAGCAGTAGGACAAGAGGGCTGGGTCTTCAGCTGTGCCAGGGGAGGTTTAGGTTGGATATTAGAAAGAAAGTTTTTACAGAGAGCAATCAGCCATTGGAATGGGCTGCCCAGGGAGGGGGTGGATTCACCATCCCTGGAAGCTTTTAAGATGAGAATGGATGTGGCACTTAGTGCCATGGTCTGGGAACCACCAGATCCAGGCGGGGTTGGATCAAGGGTTGGACTTGATCTCAGAGGTCTTTTCCAACCCCGTTGATTCTATGATTCTATGGAGTGCTGCCTAAGGCTGTGCAGGCTCAGTGACTGCATTAGGTAGGCAGGAGCTCTGGATTAGGTAGGTGGGTTTATGTAAACCTTAGTGTATAAATTCTCTTGCTTTTTACTCCTCTGTGTGCTTCATTTTTGGAAAAATTCCACCTTGCACCCTGTTCAGAATGAACAGTGTCTCCTTTCTCAACCTGACTCATTTTCCACGTTTAGAGAGTTCCTAAAATTGTCAACACTGTCAGCCTAAAACACCTGCTCCTGTTTCTAACAGATGATCCCTGACAGGGGTCAGGAGAAATCTCCTTTCTCCCCATCATGACAGGTTATTTAAGCTACTGAAGAAAACTTACAGCCAATTCTGTTCTTGAGGAAAGGTTCCTGATTAGGTGAAAAAGAGTATTTGCCTGTTTGGTTTAAACACAATCAGCCTTCTCAGCTCTTAGTAAGTGAAAAAATTAATAAATGGTGCTTTTGCAGGGTTGAATGTTAAAGACACATGATATGCTCCCTCGTGGAGCAGAGTAGCCTCCCACAAAGCCAGGTTTCATCCCAATGAGGCTTTCTGCCTCACCACAGACACGTCTCTGCCACACATCTGGGTTCCCCATGTCTGTAAGCACAAAAAGATGCCCAATTGCTGGGCAAACCCACAAAACCCTGGATGGACTAAGTACCAGGTCTGGTCTTGTAGGTGGTGGAAATGAATTTTCATTTGAGTCTTCTACCTCAGTGTAAGTTTATGGCTATTAAAGGCAAAGAGAGATCTGATTTCTTTAACTGTCCTGGCACTTTTTACTGGTCAGACTAAGAACACTTGAACTCTACACCTGTCACGTGCCACAGAAATATCTGTGGAAATAGCTAAGGTTCTTCTTACGGACTTCCCAGTTTTCCTAAAACTTTGCTCCTCACTTTGTCTACAACTGTTTATCCCAACAGAAAAACAAAGAACACAGTGAAATACTAATCTACAAACCTTATTGCTCCACCTCCAACTGCCCCAGAAAAGCCACTGTCCCCTCTGGTGAACGTTGCAGCCATGGAGGTTTATCGCCCTTAAATCAAACGCGGTGATTTACGTTCACCAGAACAAGCAACTGCTTTAGAAACACATTTTGCCTATTTTGTTTACAAGCAACCCAAACTCTCACAGAGACACAAAGAAGAACTCAGAGCCAACTGGACCTGTGATTTGTAGCAGCCATAGAGCGAGCCTGAGCCCGGCATTCCGGCGCCGAACACGTCCGTGGGCCTCCCGCCGGCTTCTGCGCTGCCCCAGCAGCGGCTGCCACCCCGGAACACCACGCTGGGCTGCAGGGACAGGAAAGGGCACAGGGAATCAGCACACACTGGGGCATCAGCATCCATACAAACTGTACACAGAGCTGAGAGCTGTGGATTTCAAACAAATGCTTTGACACTTTTATTTACCGGTGGATTCTGTTCCATCGGAGTTTTCCAGGAATTGTATCAATCTATGTATTGATGTGAAACACTTCCATGTTTACCCTTAAAGAAGAGCTGAACCCACCAAAGCACAAGAAACTCAAAAGGTGTTCAGAGATCAAGAGGAAACCTGCACTCTCCCTGTTTGCACAAGCTGAGCTTCCCAACATCAGAGCCACAGGAGCATCAGCCACAGGATCAGGAGAATGCTCATGGAATCATGGAATGGTTTGGGTTGGAAGGGACCTTAAAGCTCATCCAGTCCAACCCTTTGCCATGGGCAGGGAACCCTCTGACCAACGGCAGCAGAGTCATCATTCAGCCTTCCACACATTCCTGGGCACCTCTGGTCCTTCCCTCACTGCTCCCATCACGTTGTTTATGTTGTTTGCAGGCAGGGGGGTGCATTTCCACACGTCATGAGCTAAAACTTTGCTATAATACACACACTGGGAGCTGTGGTGGAAATCTGCTGCCTTCTGGAACTATGGGAGAAACAACTCCCACCAGAGAGACCCCCCCTGCCCATCACCCCCTGCAAGAGCCAGAAACCTGGGCCAGCAGGAGCAAGGAGTGGGAACAAACAAAAACTGAGGGGTCTCCTTCCCTTCTCCAGAGGGTGAGGTACACTACAGAAACTTGCACTGGCTGGCTAAGAACCCCTCTAGCTAACAAATACAAAAGTGATGTTACTGGCATCACATTACCACAGCAGCTCATTTGGAATGATTATTAAATTCAGAAAAAGTCAAGGTTTCACAGGGTTAGGGTTCTGAAGTGTTCCGAGTAAGCTCTGCACTCTAAAACCACCTTCTTCTACAGGTCCCTGAGGATGCACCAAACCTCTGTGACCTACAGCATGATCTTCATTCACACCACAGTCAACTATGTAGTTTTCTGTGTTTTTGAGGCACATTTGCCAAACCCACAAACACACAGAGCCAGTGCTGGGCTCAGCCCACAGCCTGGGCTCATCCCGCCTTGTTTTCCCCTCAGGGACCCTTGTTCACAGCCACACCCATCACTCATGTTTTGTGACCCCACAGAACACGGGAGAACCCTCAGAATCAGAGACTCAACCAGGCTGGAAAAGACCCCCGAGACCATCACATCCAACCTTTCACCCACCACCACCTCGTCTACAGGTCCCTGGGACACCCCAAATCCAAACTTCTCCCCATTGTCCCCACATGAGTGTTTTTCAGAACGCTGGGAGAGGGGGGTTTCCCATAGGCTTGAGCTCTGTCTCACACGTCTGGCCGGGCGCGGGGCCTCGACCCCGGAGGGGGCGGCGGGGCTCAGACACTGATGAGGGGCGGGCACAATCCTGGCCGGGCTTCGGGGTCCCCTCAGCGGGGGCGGAGCCGGGAGAGCTCCGGCAGGTGTGTGACGGGCGGAGCCGCAGAGCCCGTCCCGTCCGTTTCCGTTCCCTGTCTCTATCCCTGTCTCCCTGTCCCGTTCCCTCACCTCCATGGCTCTCCGGGCGCGCGCCCCGCGCGGGGCCGCCCTGAGGGGACGTCGGGCGGTTGCCCTCGCGCAGGCCTAACGGCCGCCCCTCCCCGCCCCGCGCCCCCATTGGCCGCCGCCCTGGCCCCCACCCAATCGGCGGCCTCGCGGCCGCCGCGCGCGCCCCCGCGCCACGTGACCCCGCTCGGATCTCCACGCGGATCTGCCCTCGCCGAGAGAGAGGCGGCGGCCGCGATTGGCCGCGCCCGCCGGCGCGCAGCCAATGGGGATACGGCTGGCTCGCGCCGCCCGCCAATGAGCGGCCGCGGGGGCGAAGGTTCGCCCGGAAACAGCCGAGCCAGGAAGGGGGAGCCCTGAGGGAGGGGCCGCCCGGACACGGAGGGGGGAGCGCGGCTGAGGGGCCGCGGGGATGGCACCCCAAAACATCGCCAGGCACCCCCCAAAACACTGCCAGGCACCCCCCAAAACACTGCCAGGCACCCCAAAACTGTCAGTCACCCCCAAAAACACTGCCAGGCACCCCAAAACTGTCAGTCACCCCCAAGAACACTGCCAGGCA